GTGGTTGGACTTTACTACACCGAGGAGACTCGTCCGTATAGTCTCATCTGGGTTGATCGTGCCAGAGAGGGATGCTCTTAATACCAAAATTCAGGTGGGCGTCCTCTCATTGTGGAACGGCGCTGTCATTGACTTAGATCGCCTATCACATGCCCACTGGATTGGGTATATTGGATAAGCCTGCTCTGCTGGTTGTGTACGTTTTCGCCCTTTTCTTGGCTTACATCGTTTTCAATAGACTAAGCTTGAGGATCGTAACGGGCAAGGCTGAGGTGAGTAGCAATGCTATCATGTGCCTTACAGGGAGGCGGAAGGGTTATCTGTGCTAGGCATCCAAGATCGATGCCCGGGCCTGGGATTTTTCCGTGTCGCTAAAGGTGGCAGATCTTTTTGAAGATCTTTGCCACGTGAATGAGAAGGTATTGAAGGTTGCTAAAGGACCGGTTCATAAATTGGATAAGGTGATGGTATCCCATTCGGTTCACTCGAAGCTTCAACGGTTGCCAGGCTATTCTCGTCCAAACGGCAGCTGCCGAGTCGCTTTGTTCTAAGATGAGGCTGGTCATGGGCATGGACCCTTCACCTGTTCACGGGTCTAGGAGGTGAGTAAAGGTAGTCGAGCCGCGAGCTTGGAAGCAGTGAGGGAAGGTACTCCAATACGGAACTTGCGAAGCGTGTGGTGGCGACGTGTGAGGAGTATGCGGATTCGGCTCGGGCTCTTTCTAGGAGTCTTTCTAAGACGGCGATATCGGAGAATGATGCTAAGGTAGGTTTAAGGGGGGTTGGGGTGCATTTCACGACTCAAGTGATGATGATCAGAAATACAACATTGTTATGGCTGAGGAGAAATCGGCGGCTAGCAAGTACAGTGATGTTGAGGAGTTATGTGTGAATCTGATCCAGAAGATGGAGGAAGAGAGCAGAGCATCGGTAAGTATTGGAGGAGTGGAGACTTGCAAGGGTCGGTTTTAGTCTGCTCGGATGGTCTATGGTGCCGTGGAGGATAGGACGACAGATGCTGTGGGGGAGTCTAAGAAGAAGAAATGAATGTGAGGTGGACGGACTGTTGAGATGCTCCTGTTTTTTGTGAACCGATTCTCACAAACAAGTACTCCCCAGTTTGTGGTTGAGTTGCTCAATATTTGTGGAGAAGGGTATGTGGTGACTAGCTCGGAAAAGGAGGATTGATCGGAATATGCAAAGCCCTCGGGGGGATTGTGGGCGTAGGTGGGGGTACGCCCACTCCATCAACTCTCGAGCGATGTATGCCCGGGCAAAGTGAGTGAATCTTCGACTATTATGCAGAGTACATCTAAGATGTAACATCTTCGGCAACACCTCTTGACAAGAGGCTTTCGAGCATATGCCCGACAAATCTTGATCCACGAGCC